GCTTAAACCTTCACACCTCCCAGAGCTCTGCACCCTCAGAGCTCCCTCCCAATGCCAAGAGGAGCCTCTTTGAGCCCTTCAGGTTTTTCCCATGGCAGCCTGGGCTCGTGTTGCATTTGAGGTGCCAAGTTTGTGCACAAAATAAATTAAAATAATAAAATAATAATAATAATAAAAATCTTTAAAGCTGCTGTTGGCAACAGGGATTGCAGGTGATAAGGGACAAAGTGACTCAGGGCTCTTCCTAGCACAGGGATGGTGCCAAAGCCATGTGTCTGCAGTGAAGCACTTGAGTTGTCTCCCCTTAACTATATTGGCTACAAACACAGATATTTAGTCCAGCTCAGTCTCTCCTAAGCCAGAGATCAATCCAGGGCTAACCATGACCTTGGAGAGAGGGAAGGGACCAGTGCATGGACAGCAACAAATGGAAAACAGAGCAGGAATAAGGATGGGAAGCCGGGCTCGTCCCCTGGCTGGCGTGTCATGCCCAGAGCAGGGAGCATCAAACAGCCCAGCAATTTCCCAGGTGCTGCTCAGGGCTCTGTTTGCTCTGCCCTTGCCTTTGGATCCAGCTGGGTATCACACAGAAGGTAATGGCAGTGCTTCAGCCCTGGGGAAAAGGGGATCATTTCCTCACAAGTCACTGCCCTTCTCTGCTGTGGATGTTGAAACGTTGCTGTGCCCAGGGAGAAGCGTCTTTAACACCGCTACTTCATCTGATGAATTTTTAAAGGCTTTTGAAAGTGAGCTGAGGGATTTTACAGCTACTCTTCCATCTGGTTGCCTCGTGGATTTTCTGTGAATTCCTGTATTTCCTTTAGCTCGTTTTCCTGAGGAAACAAAGCTTGTGCTGTTGTGCTGCTCGTGTGTGTTTGTCCACCCGTGTCCCTGTGTTTTCCTGCACTTCCAGCCTGAACTCTCTGCTCAACCTCAGCCTGACTTGTGGGAGAAATGGAAAGCTCATCCCATGTTTCCTCATTTCTGTGGGGCTGCTCAACACCCAGCCTGGGGACCTGCTAGCCCAGGTTGTTACAACCTCCTGGGACCCTCAGAATTCCAGCTGAGTAAAGGCAAATGCACGTGGGACACCCAAACAGTTGTGTGTTATGTGCCTGGGGGATGTTAAACCAAGATGTTAAACCAGGATCAGCTCCTGGGCATCATTTCGTGCTGCACTTAGGAGGGAGTTTAACAACAAACCTTTTCCAGATTGGTAATTCCCAAGGGAGATCCAGGATCAGTACAAATTAATCCTGATCCCATCTCGGTAATGATACTTGAGCTAAACCTTCCAGTTCAATATTCATGTGGATTTGGGGTCTGGAAGCCTTTTCAGGAAGCTGGGGAAGGAGGCAAACCATGGGGAGACATGTGAGCAGCGTGGAGATGTCTTTTTTTTTCTTTTTTTTTTCTTAATCCTGATGGCAAATTGCTTCTGAACATCTTCTGAGTCTCCCAAGTGGGGCTGTGCTGAGAGGCAGGAGCGGGGCTGGCAGAGCTGCCACCCGGCGTTCTGGGGGATGGAACCTGCTGGGGAGCTTGGCACAGGCCCTGCAACCTTGGCAAGGCACCACGCTGACGTTTCCAGACACATGTTTATGGGTTCTTTGAGGGCTTTTTGGTTAAATGTCAATGTTTTCATGAGATTATTCGAGGAGATTTCACTGCTCCAGAATCCCACTCTGCCTTCAGAAATTGCTTTCGGCTTGAGAGTGGCTCAGTGGAAAATCCCAGAATCCCAGGATTCTGTGCTGGGTTGGGAGGGACCCCCAAGGATCCTGGAGTCCAACCCTCAGCCCTGCACAGGCCCAGCCCCAAGAGTCCCCTCCTGTGCCCCAGAGGATCATCCAGAGGACAGGGAAATACTGCAGATTTAACTTGTTGGAGAGGTAGAATCCTGTCAGCTCATTGCAGTCCAGAACCGAGCCCTGGGAAGGGCATCACCACAGCATGGGATGGATCCCATCAGCACCAGATCAGCCCTGCTTTGAGCTTACCCAGGGTCTCACCACATGAAGGTTTCTGTGTTTCCAACATGGACATTTTGGTTAAAATCAAAATGAGCCTTTCACAGAATCCCAGAATGGTTTGGGTTGGAAGGAACCTCAAAGCCCACCCAGTCCCACCCCTGCCATGGGCAGGGACACCTTCCACCAGCCCAGGTGGCTCCAAGGCCTTGAACATTTCCAGGGATGGGTGTTCCAGCCTGGACTGATCTGGCTGTGCTAGGACAGCTCTTTTTTTCCAGACAGTCATCAGGCATCTTCATATTCCCCTGAAGCTCTCCATGTATTTCAACCTGGAGTGCTTTCCAAAACCTGGTGCTGTGTTTCATGAGCTCTCCCACAGCCCACCCTCCCTGTGCCCCTTTTTGCTGTTTCCTGCCCCCTTTCAGTCCTGATTTTGGCCTCAGGCTCCTCTCTGCAGGTTGCTGAGCGTGTCTGAGGAGCAGCTGCACGTCCTGGTTGGACACCCAGCACAGGAGGTCCAGTTCTGAGCACCCCTTGTTCAAACTGGAGGCAAGCTGAGAGCTGCTGAATTCCACCTCTGAATCCCAGCAGCTCTGCAGGTTTTCTGGGGAATAGTATTAGATCTTTAAAAAAACTAATATATACCTAGGTGGTGGAATTGAATCCAGGATTTCTCTCCCCAGGGTATCCTGAGTCTCCTCCAGCACTAAAACACATCCCAGGATCCCAGGGAGCTGATTTTAAACACTCCAGCCCTCAGGGGAGAGATGCATTGTCATTTTTTTTTTTACTGCTTGTAGAAGCAAAGGCAGGGAAAGTGATTTCAGAAATGCTTTAGTGAATTAAATGCAGGGTTTGCTGCTGAGGGAGGGAGCCCAGCCCAGGGCTGGGGCAGGAGGGTGGGGTGAGCCATGCCCAGCCCCTCTCAGCACACCCTGTGCCTGCAGTGCCAGCCCAGCCTGCTGGGGGCTTTAAACCCCTTTCACTCCACAGGGGTTTGAAATTCAGCGTGATGGACGTTGTGATTCTTGGGGTTGCCCAGGGCAGGGCAGGGTGGGGTGTTAGGGTTGTTGTGCAGGGCTCGATGGTCCTTGGGGGTCCCTCCCAGCTCGGGATATTCTGGGATTACCTCGGATGTTTTCCAAGGGAAAACAAAGATCTGTCGTTCCCTGAATGCTTTGTGGTGGGCTTGGAAACTGAGAAAGGGCTGGAAGTGTCTCTCCAGCCCTGCTGGTCAGGACCTGGCGTGGCACCAAAGCTGGCACTGCCTCTGGGTGTCCCCGTGGGCAGGTAAAATTCCCACCTTGGTGCTGAGCAACGTGTCAGAGCCAGCAAGAGATCCCAAGGAAACACATCAATTGGCAAGTGCTGGGAAATTACAGATGTGCTTAATGAAAAAGAAAACCTTGTTTACGGTTTCTGATGTGCTGCTGAAGGAACTGGCTCCCAAATAAAAATACTTAAAGTTACGATTAGGATTTATTTACATAATTACTGCCAGAGACATCCCAGGGACGTGCTGAGCAGTGCAAGAGAAGCCTCCTGGCTCTTCCTCTTTGCTTCCCCGTGTCTCCTGGTTATTTTGCTCTTGGGGAGTCTATTAGAGCTGTTCCTGACTCAGTGAGGCAGGGAGGCATTTGTTACAGAATTAATTCATATATATATGTGGATATAGATTTGTTTTATTGACTGTGGTAGGAACATATGGCTGAGTAAGAGCCACATCATCCTTGTAATTGGAGTGTTGGCTGGGGAAGGATTCAGGAGGTGGCACTTATGGCAAAGCAAGGATGTTCCATGGCTACAGTGAGGATGCCCTTGGAGTTTGTTTCCGAGGGGCTGTGACCCCCAGGGATGTGAGTGAGATGTGCCAAAGCGTAAATCGATATCAGTGGTGGGTTTCAATCCATGCCCAGGGTGTCCTGGCCACCTGCCAGCCCCTGCAGAGCCCCTGGGCCAGGTCCTGGGGGATGTTGGTGTGGCTCTGCTGATTTATCTCCGCTGGAAAAGCAGAGTAGAAAGGCCCACAACGTGTTTGTGCTGCCTGAATCCAGCCAAGGGGATGACAAATCTTCCTCTTAATATTTCAATTGACTTTGGCAAACTCGCCTCTTTCTTGTGTATCCTAAATCAATGTGTAAGTGCTGCTGACAGTAATTCCCACTTTTGTCTGTGCAGATGGCTGCCCTTCACTCTGCTGCGGTGTTTATACCTGCTAAGTTTGCAAACACTCTGCTGCTCCAGCCTCCCATCGAGCAGTATTTTTCCTTCCCTGTCATATCTGGGAGATGAAAATGTTCTTTGCTGGGCCCTGCTCGAATGGGAATTTTCTTCTTTCTTCTTTTCACCGACGTCTGGAGCCCAGGAACGGTGGTGACGAGCACCTGGCTCAGGGGGGTGCTCTGGGTGGGGGTTTAAACCATCTCAGGGGTCTGGAAGCTCCAGAGAAGGGTCTGAAAGATCTCTCCAGGCTCTTGCAGGGCTTTGAAAGTTGTGCTGCCGGATATAGCTGGGGATGTTGCACCTCTGGGATTGTCCAAGGCTTGGAGCAACCTGGTCTAGTGGAAGGTTGGAACCTTCCATGTCAGGGGGTTGGAACAAGATGAGTTTTAAGGTCTTTTCCAACCCAAATCATTCTGTAATTCCATGATCTTATGGAATCTTTTTTAATATTTTACTGCATGTCACTGCAGCCCCCTGTGCACTGTAAAACTATTACCAAGAAGCAAATCCGGAGGCTGAAAGCTGCCACATGAGTGCTAGAGATTCCTCTTTTCCTGCTGCTCTGTCTCTGCTCACTCTTCTCCATCACCAAGCAGCAGCAGCTGCTTTTTTTTTGTTGGTTTGTTTAGCTCCCCTCTCACACACTCAATCAAACCTGCAACCCATCAGTCATGCACCAACCTCGCCGGGGCCGCTTCGGCCCAGCTACTCCTTCAAGGCACACTGTTGTGAACTGATCCATTAAAACGGGGCCAAATCATTCCCACAAACCATTCTTTTCCCTCTCCTCTCGTTCCCAGGGAGAAGATGCCATTCCACCATGTGACAGCTGGCTTGTTGTACAAGGGCAACTACCTGAACCGCTCACTCTCCGCCGGCAGCGACAGCGAACAGCTCGCCAACATCTCCGTGGAGGAGCTGGATGGTGAGCCAACCTGAGGGGGGGGCTTCCCAAATTGCTCTCCCAAATTCACACCTCTCCACGGTGTTGTCACGAGGTGTTCTCCCTGGGAAGCAAGGAGGGAGTGAGATTGCTCGGCAGGTTCAGGGACAGAGAGAAGGTCCCCGAGCGAAGCTGCGTGCAGAGCTGGGGAGGGACTTTTTAGGCTCAGATTTTGTCCTTCTTAGAGGCAAGAAGGACAAAGTCAAGAAGTCAAAAAGGGCAGCTTTTGGAAAAAGTAAGGCTGCATTTTATGGGCAAAACTGCAAGAGAAAATTTAGGGTAATATGTATTGCAAAGATATTTTGAGCTCTCCTGGAACTTGCAGTGCTGAGTCTGTCCCTTCCAAGTCATCTTGATTTGCGTTGTGGCCTTTCAAAAGTGAGGCTTCTCTCTGTCTCAGTACATGCATGGAGGCAGCTTGTGGCTTAAGAAGCTGGGAAGGGCTTTAAAATTCCCTTTCCCAGGTCAGTGATTGGGAGCACAGACCGGCCTCAGGCTGGCAAAGGCCATCAGGAAGGTTGTCCACATCTGCTGCCTGGAGGATCCCATAATTTTCTCCCTGGAAGTTGGTTGTTGCTAATCCCCCCTGCCCTGCAGACAGGCTGTGTGGCCAGGAAGACTCCCAGCCTGGTTTGTGGTGGGAAGGTCTCCTTTGTAGATGATTTGTGGCTCCTCAGGGTGGTTTCTAAGCAAAGGTTGGTAGTGTGGACAGCTGGGCTTTGAGTGCTGTGGAACAAACTGAAGCTCTTGGGTTGCTTCCCAGTGGACATTTGGTACAAACCATGATCATAATGAGTGGCCTCGATGGAGAACTTGATGAGGAAACGATCAAGGGAAGGGTGCAAGGGGGAATTGGTCCTTCCAGGACAGGCTGGAGGGATTTTGGCAAACATTTCTGCCCACCCTGTCCCTTTTCACGTGCGCTTTGGTAAATCGGACCTCGGTTCACAAACCTTGTCAACTCCTCTGGATTTGGTTTTGTGAGGTTTAAATTAACTTATCTTTGGGACAAACAGTGTTTTCTCCTCCTCAGTAAGTCAGAAGGCAGCTCAGGGGAGAGATGCAACACAAGGAACCGCTTTCAGTTCAGCTCAGCTCAGACCCCAGCATTGCCAAGGGCATGTCCTGGGCACTTCTGGGGCTCAGGAGCTTGGCTTGAAGATTGAAGTTCAGCTGAACTGAAGTGACTCAGCCTGTCTGCACCCTAGAGATGACAAGCTGTGTTGCAGGAGAAGCTTTGCTGCTGTCCCTGTGACAGGAGGTGGGATTAGGCCCTACAGTTCATTCCAGATGCAGACAACAAAGGGGTTTTTGGTTATGCCAGCGCTGATTAGAGCACGTCTGGGATTTGCAGACAACTGTCAGGAGCTGATCCAAGTGGTGCTGTTTGGTCAGAGGTTGCACTCAGTGATCCTGAAGGTTTTTTGCAACCTTAATAAGTCGATGCTTCCATGATTCTGTGAAGTGGCATCAGGGCTGGAACCCACTGTCAAGGCTGGAACCCACTGTAAGGTCTGGAACCCACTGTCAGGTCTGGAACCCACTGTCAAGGCTGGAACCCACTGTAAGGTCTGGAACCCACTGTCAAGGCTGGAACCCACTGTAAGGTCTGGAACCCACTGTAAGGTCTGGAACCCACTTGCAGGGCTGGAACCCACTTGCAGGGCTGGAACCCACTGTCAAGGTTGGAACCCACTGTCGAGTTGGAACCCACTGTCAGGGCCATCCCATCCCACTGGGGATACTTGTCCCTGGTTTGTCTCCCTGTTGTTTGCCTGGAAATGATCTGGGGCTGGACGTGGGGAGGCAGCCCAGCTCATTTCCATCCTTGCCGCGCCTCCCTGATCCGTGCTGGGCTCTCTGCAGGCTCCTCAAACCCTCTGGCATCACTTTTCCCTGCGGGGTGGGAGCAGCAGCTGCGGGAGAACAGCCCCACCTTCCAGAGGCCGCGGGTCGCGGATCATCTCCCTTAATTAACGCAAATGAAGCGAATTAGGTGTGAAGGAGCTGCCCGAGTCGCTGTTAATGCAAGTCCTGCTTCCACTCAGCACGGCCGGTGCCCCGATCGGGAGCGCTCACTCAAAGAGTGTCCCCCTCATTCTCCGCGAGATTTAATTAATCACCCATTTATTGCCTGCCTGTTAAGCACAGCCTTCCCGCTAGAATTTGGCCAGATTATTTTCCTGACAGCCTCGTGCCCCACAGCCCCGCCTCTCCGAGGGCTTTGTGGCTTTTGCCGGCTCTGAAAGAGCTCAACCTCAGGACGTGGGGTTTTTTTTGCCACCTGCGAACACAGAACGGCACCGAATTGATTCGTGTCTGCTAAAGCCAGAGCAGCGTAAGAAGCTGCAGATAGTTCTCTGTCTGCCAGCCAGCAGCAGGCAGCCTCTGGAATTGATATTTAATTCTAAGGCAGCATCTCTGTCTTACTGTGCTTTGTCACTAATACCAGATCAGTGCCTGGGTGTGCTGGTGATTGCTGAAGGTACCACTGTTCACTGCCCAGCCTAGAATAGAATTAGTCTTTCTGCCTTTAAGCATAAACACTCTCAGGGTGAGTAACAAAATGTTCTTCCTCGAGAAGTTAATGTCAGGGTATGGGAGCTTTGTGGATACATCAAGCTGTGATAGCTCGATGCCAATAACATATTTGCATTTAATCTCACAGGGTCGGGAAAGAGATGCCAAAATTCTCCTTGGTTCCTTTTTCAATGAGATTTTGCTCCTGAGGGAGTTCCAGCCTGTTGAGAAATTCCAGTCACACATATTAAATTATTAAAGGTTTGAAGCTGGGGAAGTCAGTGGGAATTTTCTCCGATGTTCCCTCTGCGCCCAGGGCTCCAACAAGTGCCTGATCTATTGGGGGGGTTTCCAGCAGATTTTTCTTTTCCCATATCTAGCATTGTGTGTCTCAGCACTTGGGGCAGGATTTCTGGAATTGTGGGCTCTAGGATGCTGCAGGATCTGTGCAGCCTGACTGGAATACAGCCCTGCAGTGAATACTGAGTGCTCCCTCTTTGCAGCCTGAGGGTGATGGCTGAGGGATCATATGGAGATCAGGGAATGAAAAATAATTCTGGCTTCAAGTAATGTAAGAGAAAAGGAGTCCAGGTTTTGGAATGGACACACAGTGTGCTGAAGGTGCTGCTCTGCCTCTTCTCTGGCATAAATCATAAAATGGTTTGGGTTGGAAGGGACCTTAAAACTCATCCAATTCCACCCCCTGCCATGGGCAGGGACACCTTCCTCTCTCCCAGGTTGCTCCAAGCCCTGTCCAACCTGGCCTTGGACACTTCCAGGGATGGGGCAGCCACAGCTTCTCTGGGCAACCTGTGCCAGGGCCTGCCCACCCCACAGGGAACAATTCCTTCCCAATATCCCATCTAACTCTGGCAGTGGGAAGCCATTCCCTGTGTCCTGTCCCTCCATCCCTTGTCCCAGCTCCCTCTCCAGCTCTCTTGGAGCCCCTTTAGGCCCTGGGAGGGGCTCTCAGGTCTCCCAGAGCCTTCTCTTCTCCAGGCTGAACAATCCCAATTTTCCCAGCCTGTCTCCATAGGTGAGGTGCTCTTACCAGCCCTGGACTTGCTCCAACAGTTCCACGTCCCTCCTACAGTGTGGACCAGAACTGCCCACACTCTTCCAGGGGGGATCCAACGAGAGCAGAGTAAGTTTTCCCCTCTGAAAACTTCTCAGACTTCCATCAGCCATCTGTCAGCTTGAACTGGGCTCTGTTTTTTTCCATCCTGCTTTAAACTGAGCGCTGGCAGGCAGGGAAGAGGCTGGAGAGATAACAGGTCACTGCTGATGCCTCTTCTATTCCGAGCAGCCACGCTGCTATTTGTGGTTCTCTCTTTGTGGCTCTGTAGTAGTGTGAGGGTGTTTAGGAGCTGTCACCGTCACAAAAGGGAATTAACTTGCACAAAGCCATATTAGGAGCTCCTTAACTTTGTTAACAGCCACTAAATGACGGAGTTGGAAGTGGCAGCACATCCATAACCTGTCTCTGAGGGGCTGCGAAGCGTGGCAGGGTCCTGGATTGGAGTTACTGCCGTGTGCTCAGAGGTTTCTGGGCGTGAGATTATAAATCAAGGCTGGGAGGGGCTGTTTTTAGAAATTAAGGCTGTTTTGCATATGAATTTCCTGGCTGTTGTTGGGTGACATCAAAGTGTGGCGTGGCTTGTGCAGACTCTGTGGTTTCCACGTCCCTTCTCAAACCACCTCCCGTCCTCACGTTTGGAGTCTTTTTAATAAAAAAATGGTGGATGGAAATAATCATGTCGAGCTTGAGTCATCCTCCTCCATAGGCACTATCTAAAGGGTATTGTCAGGAGGCAAAAACATTTCCATAGCAGGAATGTGACAAATATCACCTGAAGGGAGGCACATGCATGATAAGTAGGCTTTGCAAGAAGTGCCTGGGAGATGGGAACTAGTCAGTGCCTTGCAGAGAAACCCTAAAGCTGAGCCACAGCAGCAGCTCTTTGTCCAGAAAGACATCGAGGTAAAGCCTCACCTGGCCCAGATTCCTTTGAAAATCAGCAGGAGGAAACGGTGCTGCAGGGGCAGCTCTTGGCATCTGGGGCTTCAGGTCACGCAGCCCCTGCCCCAGGAGGTGTGTCTGGGGTGTCCATAAGGGTTTTTCTAGGCTGGCAGAGATTTTTTTTTTTATTTTTTGGCTGGATACAGCCCTGAAGGTTGAGCTGCATCTCCACTTTTGCCTGCCTGAACCGGAGATGTCAGCAGAGCAGCACGTGAGATGGGGCAGAGCTGCTGCCTGCAGGAGCCTTGGGGTGCAGCAGCTCCACGGCAGGGAGGTGCAGATTCCTCAGCAGGAGGCTGCTCTGTGATTATGGATTCTACACCACCCTGCAGGAGGTGCTTTACCTGGTTTCTGCTTCTTCCCAGCAAGCTGCCTTTTGTCACCTCCAGAAGGCTCTTCCCTGGGCTCCTGTGTAGGAGAGAGCCACGAGCAGCTCCGGAGT